GCATGTATTTTAGAATTTTTTTTGCGATACGCAAAAGGTTAATTTATTTTATCACTTTGCATATAATATTGCAACATTTGAACAATATTTCTCTAAATTTTAATTAAAAAATATTAAGAATTGAGCGAGATAATGAGATTTTCCTCAGGCGACTCCAAAAAAATTGATTTGCGGTGTACGCTCTATCTCGCAACAGAATCATCCAAATCAAAAAAATCAAAGTGCATTTGTCAAAGGAGATGTTTTCTGAGGTAACGCTGGGAGCTTTTTTTTAAATTACAAATTAATCGATTATTTTATAGCGAAAATCGAATTTTTGACTTTTAAGTGCTACAAAAAATCGAAAAATAAAAAAAAAATTCCTCCCAGCGTTATCTCAAAAAACATCTCCTTTAACAAATGCACTTTGATTTTTTTGTTTTAGATGATTCTATTGCGAGTTAGAGTGTACACCGCAAATCAATTTTTTTTGGAGGCGCCTGAGGAAAATCTTATTTTCTCGCTCAATTCTTAATATGTTTTAATTAAAATTTAGTGAAATGTTGTTCAAATGTTGCTATATTATATGCAAAGCGATAAAATAAATTAACTTTCTGCGTATCGACAAAAAAAATTCTTAAAATCATGCTTTTTTTAACTTTTTAGACCTTACCCCCTCCCTTAAGCTCTTTATATAAAGCACCTAAAAACTAAGGTTATTTTTCAATTTTGCAAATAATTAAGGTGGGCAAAAAAGCATGAAGATATTGTATGATTTTATCAATTTCAGCAACAGTTTAGTTTCATTAAATAATAATTGTTATTTACAAATCACGTACACAAAGAACTTGATACTAGTATTTTTAAAATATTGTAGCTTTTTTAGCAAACCATGTTTCTGCGAAGAAAGTTAGTAATTAAAAATAATTTCACATTTATTATCAGCAAGACCAAAAATTTACATTTAAGTCCACTTAATCTCGCAATCATCAGCAAGCAGAATATGTGGTGAGAATGTAATCCTTAAAGTCGTAGTAACTTTAAGAAAAAAATAGGTTTAATGAAACGTATGAAAGGAAACAGGAAAAAGAACTATTTGCGCGCGAAGCGCGCATCAATCCTCAGAACGCGAAGCGCGACGACCAACATTCGCGCGCCCCGAGGCGTTTTTAAAAGAATTTAAAATTTAAAATTTTTTTAATTTTTTGAAAAAATTGAATATCTCCCGTTCTAATTCATATTTTTTAAATCTGTAAATTTATAAACCTTCCTTGGGCCAAGGTCTAACGTTCTGCCAAATTTGGTTTCAAACGGATCAGCCGTTTTTAAGTGATGCGCGACCAAATATTCTGTGACATACCGACACACATATACATACACTAGCTGCGATACCCGTCTTCGACGGGTTATTAGTTATTGTTATTCCTACTTATATATTAATAGCTGCGATACCCGTCTTCGACGTGTTTCTTAGTATTTTTATAGTTTTCCATATTGAGTATTGATTGGTATTTAACCAACTACATTTAAACTAATTTTCTTGATGATTATTAATATTAATTAATGAAGAAGAAAACGAAATTTTAAGGAAAGTAAAAAGATAATGTTTAGATTTTAAAAATCGCCCTAAGTGTAAAAACCATCATGGCTTAATAACAGCCCAGTACTGGCAAAGTTGTCACCTAGTCTTGGCCGATATTATTGGGACGACTCTTGTGGTGTTAATTACGGTTGGACGTCGGCAGACGCTAATGGCCCAATATTGACTGCCATTACTTACCCAGTATTGGCAAAATACAAAAACTAATATAAATTATTACATTTTTTATTAGTTAACTAATTAATTTATCATATTTATACGTCTTTTATTTCACTCTGCTACTTTGACGTGAAGTCAAGAAAGCTTAATGGTTTCACACTAAAAAAAAGTTTTACTTTTAGCCTGTTTTCGAGGCTGAAATTAAGGTGTAAACGGAGTCAGCCCCATTAAACAAGGACAGACTTATGTGAAATACATGGGCTGAATTTAAGGTGTAAACGGAGTCAGACTTTTTTTCCTGAGTTTATAAGCTACACTATTTATCGATATTGTGATATTATTGGGGCGAGGTACGTCCCAATATTGGCAATTGTATTTTGCCATAATAGCAGATACAAAATTTTTGCTATTAATGTGCCATTACTGAGCCGAGCAACGTCCCAATATTCTGAAACTGAAATTACCAACGTTTATTCGACGAAAATTTTTACTTTAGCTAATTGCTTATTTTAATATTAACAGCCCTTTAAAAAAATTACGAAAGGATCAAGGAATGAAAGTTTTAGTTTTCTTTCGACTTTTAAGAAATGTAAACAAAAAAAATTTTTTTTTATAGACAAATTAATTTTTTTAACTTTGGGCCGGATTTTTTTTTATTTTTTAAAAATTTATTTATACCTTATAGTTTCCAAACAGTCCCGAAATGGGCCTGATGTAATAAATGAGTTTTAAAACATTTTCAAAAATCACTTGCAAGCATCACAGTGGGATTTCTTTTACAATTAACTTTTTAAAACTGTCTACAGCGTAGACCCTTTAATTTAAAATAAAGAACACTCAAATAGATTAAAAATTATACGCTGTAGACAGTTTTAAAAAGTTAATTGTAAAAAAATCCCACTGTGATGCTTGGAAGTGATTTTTGAAAATGTTTTAAAACTCATTTAACACATCAGGCCCATTTCGGGACTATTTGGAAAAACTTCTCTATACTATAAAGTATAAATAAATTTTAAAAAAATCTGGCTCAAAGTTAAAAAAAATTAATTTGTTAAAAAAAAAATTTTTTGTTTACATTTCTTAAAAGTCGAAAGAAAACTAAAACTTTCATTCTTCGACAACTTTTTCCTAAACTCAATATTTTCGGACTTATAAGCTACTGAATATTGGTTTACAATTAAAAGTCCAAAACTCCGAAAATTCATAACTCGAAAATTTGAATAATTAAACAAAAATAAAAAAATACTTATCTGTTTTTTTCGATACAGAATAGGAAACAAATTTTTTTGGCCGATTTTAAGAGGTCGACTAAAATCTCACGTGGAATTGCCCATATATAGATAAAACTTAAGATGCCATAAGTTGATTCCGCCGACATCTGCCGAAAAATTTTTTATTGAGAAATGTTCATTAAGACGTCAACTTTCCAAATTTTATTGACACTTTTTGAAATAAATGTCTTTTTTAGTTTTTAAAATATAACTATATTCGTAATCAGCGACACCCAAAATTCTAATTTTTATTTACACCCAGTGAGAAATTGCCAATAGACTTTAATCGGTCCAATATCGGTCCAATATTGGTTGCCGTGCTGGGCGCCGATTGACTCCCAATATTGGACCAATATGGGCTGATGCTTGGGATGTAACGGCATCGCCAATCATCGGTTGTCAATATTGGTCCAATATTGGCCGAATATTGGCAACCAAGAGAAAAAAAATTTTTTAAATAAATTTTTTTTAATTAAATAATAATAATAAAAAATTAATGTTTATAATTTTTGTTTAATATATTTATTTGTTTAATTATTTATTTTTAATAATTCATGTAAATAATAAATAATTTATTATTTATAAATTATAATTATTTAAAAATGCAGCAGCTATTAGAAAATAGCATTCTGCAAAAAAATTCTATCATTGAAAAATCAATGATAGGCGAGAGAAATCCGCGTCTTTAAATAGATTCGCAGATGATAGGCAAGAGATATCCGCGTCATTAAACGGATTCGCAGATATACTCTGGTCTCGCGACGAATCTCTCGATACTTATATACACTGGAGTCGCCGTGTCAGTTGCGAGAACGGTTACAGCGTCCCTCTTGCGGCAGAGATAAGAATTGTCACGTAAACTGCTAAATCGCTTTACCGACCGCCTTATTATACCCGCAGTTTACGTGACAATTCTTATCTCCGCCGCAAGAGGGACGCTGTAACCGTTCTCGCAACTGACACGGCGACTCCAGTGTATATAAGTATCGAGAGATTCGTCGCGAGACCAGAGTATATCTGCGAATCCGTTTAATGACGCGGATATCTCTTGTCTATCATCTGCGAATCTATTTAAAGACGCGGATTTCTCTCGCCTATCATTGATTTTTCAATGATAGAATTTTTTTGCAGAATGCTGTTTTCTAATAGCTGCTGCATTTTTAAATAATTATAATTTATAAATAATAAATTATTTATTATTTACATGAATTATTAAAAATAAATAATTAAACAAATAAATATATTAAACAAAAATTATAAACATTAATTTTTTATTATTATTATTTAATTAAAAAAAATTTATTTAAAAAAATTTTTTTCTCTTGGTTGCCAATATTCGGCCAATATTGGACCAATATTGACAACCGATGATTGGCGATGCCGTTACATCCCAAGCATCAGCCCATATTGGTCCAATATTGGGAGCCTTTATTGGACCGATGATCGGTCTCTTGGCTCCCAATATTGGACCGATATTGGACCGGTGAGAAATTTCTCACTGGGCATAAACAAATTTATTAAAATTAATGTCCACTATATTGGATCTGCCATTTTGAGTTTTAAAAATTTGACTTGTGTTTCGTAATCAGCGATCTCAAAAACCCCTAAATCCTAATTTTCATTAAAATTCAAAATTTTAAAAAATAAATTTTCGCCATATTGGAGTCACAATTTTGAATTTTTAAAATCTAACTGCATATTCATATTCGGTGATCCCAAAAACCCATAAATCTTAATTTTCATTAAAATTCATTAATTTTTTTTAATTGATGTTTGACATATTGGAGTCGCAACTTTGAATTTTTAAATTTTGACTGTTGATTCGCAATCAGCGATCTCAAAATGATATAAATTCGGCTCTCAGACTACTGTGTGCCGCTAGTGTTATTTTCTTAACTGATACAAAAATTCTAGTTAGATTTCGGCATTACCGACAGATCTATTTTTCAAGCACACTTGAGTGTAAATAAAGATTTAAAGAACACTTTCAGATTCATGGAGACGCGGCTTACGTGGGCCAAGGGGTAAATCAGGAATGTCTGGCATTGAGTGGAGTACCGCATTTCGAAATCGGTGGCACAATTCATTTGGTGGTGAATAATCAGGTTGGATTTACGACACCACCATCGCGAGGCAGATCAACGAGGTACTGCACTGATTTGGCAAAATTCATAAACGCTCCCATCATTCATGTCAATGGTGACGATCCCGAGGTATGTAGTAACATTTTATTGTCAAATAATTCATGAATTAATTACTTACCTGAATATTTGGAGTGCTGCTTTTGTGACGTCTCCTAGATGGTAGTTCGTGCCACAAGGATTGCATTCGCCTATCAGAGAAAGTTCCGCAAGGATGTCTTTGTCGATTTGAATTGCTTCAGAAGATGGGGACACAATGAACTCGACGATCCAACGTTCACAAATCCTCAATTGTACAAACTTATTCATAACCGTCCGTGAGTTAATTTGATTTTTATTTAACATTCTGTCTACTCTGACACGTTTCTATAAGCGAAGAAGGTCCTAATGCTAGGAGAGCTGAATGAACTGCAGAGGAGAGCTGAATGAGACGCAGAAATAGGGAGAGGATCCTTTTATACGGCTTACGAAAAGGAATGGAAGGCGTCCCCTTCTATCGCCCTTCTCCCAATGAGAATAATAATATTACCGATGGAAATAATTCTTCCTTTTTTCAAAATAAATAACATAAGGATGTCTTCCTTCACCTAATTTGCACATCTACTCATTTCATATAAGGATAGTTTCTTTTTTATTGTGCTAGAATAAAAAAAATACATTTCTACTGCTTCGTTCACTACAAACAACTATTTTTGCAGATCAATTCCAGACGCGTATTTAGAAAAATTGTCCAAATCGAATCTTCTCACGAAGGAAGAGGGTCAATCGATTGTTGACGATCATACATCATGGTTGACAAACGCTTTACGACAAGCAGACGATTACAATCCAGACGCAACCTACTTTACCGGCTGGTGGTCAAGAATTAAACAAGCGGACTCTGCCGTTACCACTTGGAATACCGGTGTGAATTCAAACCTCTTACAATTTGTCGGTAACCGGAGTGTACAATTTGAAGAAAATTTCGTAAGATTTTTTTTAAAATTCAATCCTAAGAAATCCCTAAAAGAAAAAATAACAAAAAATTGAATTTATTCTAGAACATACATCCACATATTCTGAAAACACACGTGAAGGCAAGATTGAAGAGAATTGAGGAAGAAAGGCAGATTGATTGGTCAACGGCGGAAGCAATGGCTTTTGGAAGTCTCCTATATCAGGGATATAATGTTAGATTGAGTGGTCAGGACGTTGGTCGAGGGACTTTTTCACATAGACATGCAATGCTTGTGGATCAAGTTAGTGGAGGTGGGTAAAGATGCATCTGGTCTAAAATAATTATGGTTTTTTATGTTAAAATCCCATTTTTAGGTATTCACATACCATTGAATTCGATGGTGAGTGATCAGAAGGGAAAAATAGAATTGGCAAACAGTATTTTGTCGGAAGAAGCAGTTCTGGGATTTGAGTACGGAGTCAGTATTACATCACCGTCGACATTGTCAATTTGGGAGGCGCAATTTGGTGATTTTTTCAATGGGGCACAAATAATTATTGATACATTCCTAACGAGTGGTGAGGCGAAATGGATGATGAGTAGTGGATTAACAATGATGTTGCCACACGGTTATGAGGGAGCTGGTCCGGAGCACAGTTCCTGTAGGATGGAGAGATTTCTCCAATTGACTGATAGCAAGGAGACAAAACCCGACGGCGAAGATGTTAACTTCCAAGTGGCGAATCCTACGACACCGGCGCAGTACTTCCATTTACTTAGAAGACAAGTATTTATCTAAAAGTATTTAATTCTCTAACAGTAGTTAGAGGACCCTCAGTGACCCTTATCATCCATAATCGTCCATTCGGTTGCCTAAATGCCTAACAAAAAATGTTCGCGGACCTGATGGAAATTCGGTAACATTTGGACAATTGATACGGGAACCAACTCTCTCTCTTTCGTAGCTTCTAGACTAGAACTTCCAGTTCTTGCTGGAAGTATTCTTTGTGGGTAAGGCAATCCAAACCGCGGATTATAAGCGTTAGTTTCAGATACATCGATTAGGTTCTGTTCCCTTCTTCTTGGTTTCTAGAGAACTACTTCCAGATCTTGCTAGACGTCCTCTTTCTGGGTAAGGTAATCTAAACCACAGATTTTAAAAGTTCTCTAGAAACGAAGAAGAAAGGAATAGAAGTCCTAGTTCGGTGTATCCAAACCGAGATCTTCCAGTTCTTGTTGGACGTCTACTTCCTGGGTAAGGTAATCCAATTCGTAGATTTTCAGCGTTAGTTTTTGATACACTGATTAGGAGTTCTATTGCTCTCTTCTTAGTTTCTAGAGAACTACTACCAGATCTTGCTAGACGTCTTCTTTCTGAGTAAGGTAATCCAAACCACGGATTTTAAAAGTTTTCTAGAAGCGATGAAGAAGGGAATAGAAGTCCTAGTTCGGTATACTTTCTGGGTAAAATAATCCAATTCGTAGATTTTCAGCGAGTTTTTAATATACTGATTGTAACGATTGCTCTTACAAAATTTACTTTTATTTTATTAAATGTCATTCCAGTGGTCTTTTCTAATTAATTAGCAGACGACAAAAGCACATGTTGCTCGCCGGGCGAAATTAGCGCCAGAGAGAGATTAGCATCTCACAACAACGCATATCGCGCATTGTATAATTATAATTACTTTTGTACCATTTAATCTTTTATTAAAAGTTATTGTTTAAATTAATCTTGTGAGATTTCTGAAGTGATCCTTCCTGCGCCAGTTTACACTATTTCAAGGAAACTTGTTCTAAGCTGCTTGTTCCTGGGCGAGAATCAACTCCGTTAAGTCCACCTATGTATTCTCATTTGGCTCTACACGGAAGGCTTGTTCTCACCTGTGGAAACTCTGCTCGAAATTATTGTGCGCCATCGGTTAAGTCGAACCCCTTTTTTAATCTCTTTTTATTTCTTAGTCTAAATCTTACCCGGTTGCCCACATGATTGGGAGTTCTATTGTCCTCTTCTTAGCTTCAAGAAAAGTTCTTCGAATTCTTGCTATCCCAGTAAAAAAAATTCGATACACGGACCGCGGAGTTCGTATACGAGCTCGGTAGCTCGTATGAGAAATATGAGAAAACTCTCATACGAGCCTTTTCCGTAATGAGAAGTGTATAGATGCTTGTATACGAGGTGACTTTTAAAGCATTTTTCTTAATATAACACTAATTTAAAGTAAATGTAGATAATAGAAATGAATTTTCAAAGTAAAACAAAGCTAAATTTATAAAGGAAATTAAGTTTTAAGAAAAAAAGGATAATTTTGTTCAAAAAATTTATTCACACTGAAAAAAGGTTAGAATTTGATAATTCCTTGTTACTCTAACTTACCGACATTAGATATTTCTCGGATGCGGTAAGCACGATTTTGTATTGGCGGTAGAATAAATAAGTTTTTTTCATTACTTATTAATAATATATTATTATTTATTTATTATATAAATGTTCTTATATAAAATAATTAAATGTAATACAAAATCTGCTTACCGTATACGAGAAATATCTAATGTCGGTTAGTTAGAGTAACAAGGAATTATCAAATTCTAACCTGTTTTCAGTGTGAATAAATTTTTTGAATAAAATTATCCTTTTTTTCTTAAAACTTCATTTCCCTTATAAATTTAGCTTTGTTTTACTTTGAAAATTCTTTTCTATTATCTACATTTACTTTAAAATAGTGTTATATTAAGAAAAATGCTTTAAAAGTCACCTTGTATACAAGCATCTATACACTTCTCATTACGGAAAAGGCTCGTATGAGAGTTTTCTCATATTTCTCAAACGAGCTACCGAGCTCGTATACGAACTCCGCGGTCCGTGTATCGAATTTTTTTTACTGGGATGTTTCGCAATTTGGATTGTCTGACCTAGGAAGAATTCTAGATCAATCCAAATCGCGGAACATACCCTAAATAAGCTTTATACTCTTTTTATGGCCCCGGCAGTGAAAGTCTCCTTATAGGAGTCTTCGACTAAAGAGAAAGTTTGAACGCATTACGCCACTATGAAGGCAACTAACTGCTTCTCCATTTCATTGGGCACCTCTCTTCCTGGGTAGAAATTTTCCCAATTGAATAGACGGAGAGTAAGCGAGTTTTGGTCAAGGGTTTTTTATAAGGCTCATAATTACAGGGTGTCTAGCGAATTATGATTTTCAAATTCCCGGCAAAATCCCGGATTTCCCGGACCTAAAACTAATTTATTCCCGGATTTATTTTTAAGACATTAATGACTATACTATTAATTTTTTAAATACAGTGGAAACTGAATTATCCGAACTAATTCAGGCAGGATCTGGTTCAGATAATCAAAAGTTCGAATAATAGAAATTGCTATTATTTTCGTTTATATTTGTGGATAAATGATTGTTTCGGAATTATTTTGCAATATCCAGTGGCATTTATGTCTTCTTTTAGATATTTACATTAAAAGTCACTGAGGTTCAACTGCAATAAGTTAAAAACATTAGGATTTATATTTAAACTTTCAATTTAAGACTTTAAAATGTTAAAAACTTATGCAACAATTACAGTGCCGCTCAAAAGGATTTGCCCACCCTACGCCATGCAAGGGCATTACAAAAAGTTTTGTATCTTCAATAATAATAAAGATAAAATCTTAATCAAATATTTATTTTAAACCTTAAGTATTTGACTTGAAATAATGCCAAAAAAATTCAAAAAAAAAAATTTTTTTAATGTTTAATTGCTGAAAATGAAAAAAAAATTTTCACTTTTTTTGAAAAATTTCAAATTGATACAATTTTTGAAGAAATCATCACATTTAAAATCTACAAATGTCATTGGAAAGCATTTTTTGTCACCTTTCAAACGATTTTTTGAAAATTGCTCTACGATAATTTTTAAGAAAGATATGATCATTTGTTTATAAAAATAGCCTATTTTTTCAATTGTTGGTAATTTGAGAACAATTGATTTTTGAAAAAAATTGTTAAGGAAAAAAATGTGCCTCTTTGTGCGTAGAATTAAAAAAAAATATTTAAACAATAAAAAAAAAATTTTTTTTTACATTTTTTTCTTCTGTATATATTTTTAAGACGAATAACATATACTTATCAATACATATCGATAAAATCTAACACAACATAAATTATCACTGTTAAAAAGAACAGTTAATAATTACACTTTTTAAATATTTAAATAACATTAATTAATTAATTAATTTCGTGATTTTTAAATTGAATGTTATTTTTAACAACACTGATTTAATTATTTATAAACAAATAAATGTTTTATAATTAATGTTATTTAAATATTTAAAAAGTGTGATTATTAACTGTTCTTTTTAACAGTGATAATTTATGTTGTGTTAGATTTTATGGATATGTATTGATAAGTATATGTTATTCGTCTTAAAAATATATACAGAAGGAAAAAATGTAAAAAAAAATTTTTTTTATTGTTTAAATATTTTTTTTCTAATTCTACGCACAAAGAGGCACATTTTTTTCCTTAACAATTTTTTTCAAAAATCAATTGTTCTCAAGTTACCAACAATTGAAAAAATAGGCTATTTTTATAAACAAATGATCATATCTTTCTTAAAAATTATCGTAGAGCAATTTTCAAAAAATCGTTTGAAAGGTGACAAAAAATGCTTTCCAATGACATTTGTAGATTTTAAATGTGATGATTTCTTCAAAAATTGTTTCAATTTGAAATTTTTCAAAAAAAGTGAAAATTTCTTTTTCATTTTCAGCAATTAAACATTAAAAAAATTTTTTTTTTGAATTTTTTTTGGCATTCTTTCAAGTCAAATACTTAAGGTTTAAAAAAAATATTTGATTAAAATTTTATCTTTATTATTATTGAAGATACAAAACTTTTTGTGCAACACCTGCAAGGAAAGTAATACTTTGCATGCCTGTAAAGTAGGCGCAAAACAGTACTTTGCTGCACTAGTGCGGCAAAGAGCTTACTTTGCTGCACTAATGCGGCAAAGTGGTTATTTTGCTGCACTAGTGCGGCAAAGTGCTTACTTTGCTGCACTAGTGCGGCAAAGTTCTTAAACTTTTGGGTTTTTTTGGTGATATACATAGGTATTTGTTTTCTATTTGTAGAATACCTGTTTTTTACAGTAATATACGCGTAAAAAACCACGAATATTAAGTGCGGTAACATACGTTCCAAACCCTGCTAAACAGTACGTATGTTGGCGTCAACTAGCGTTTCCAAACAGCTTTTTTTATCAAAACCAAAAGGTGTTGCACAAAGTACTGTGTGCAACACGTACGAAAGAAGATTTTCCAACTTCGTGCAAATTGCTGCCCTCGCTTTGCTCGGGACAGCAAACTTTGCACTCGTCGGAAAACAGCTTCTTTCCGTACTTGTTGCACAATATACTATTGTAATGCCCTTGCATGGCGTAGGGTGGGCAAATCCTTTTGAGCGGCACTGTATATAAATAATAATAATAATATACGGTCAATTCTATGTCACAAATATATTTTATTTATTTCGTTTAGAAAAAAGGTATACGTATCCTTTATTTTTCTATTCTATAGAGGACCAAAATATTTTTTGCAAACTATCCTTATTATTTGTAAGTAGGTATGTATTAGATAAGTAAAATAATACTAAACCTGTTCTTGGCATATTTTTCTAAATTCAATAGTTTTAGAGTTATAGATAATTGAAAATAAGTCTACCTACTTTTAAAAATAAAAAAAAAATACAAAAATTTGGTTACCTATAAAAAATGAAAAAATAGATTTACAATAATATATTTTCATCCTAATTGAAAATGTGGACTGAAATTTAAGGTGAAATTGCCTATATACCTACCTATAATATATCTTTTTAAAATTTTTGAAAAATATAAGACTGAAGGTAGTTCTCCGGCTTCTACACTTGTAAAAATTTATTTTCTTCAAATTTTGAGGAAATGTTTCTTCGGGTGCCATTTAAATGTGGTAAAAATTTCAAAACCCTTTGCGATGCTAAATTTTGACTTATTTAAGTTCAAACTTTCACTTTTCCATGCGATTATGTTAAAAATAAAAAATGTCAACCACAATATCTCGTTTTTTGACATGAAAAAATGTTTTGAAATTTCTACCACATTTAAAGGGTACCCGAAGAAATATTTCCTCAAAATTTGAAGAAAATCTATCGAAAATTAATTTTTAAAAGAGTAGTAGTCGGAGAACTACCTTAAATTGAAATTTTTTTATAGATTTTAATGAATTAGCGAAATTTTCCAAAAATTCCCGGATATTTTTTCATTTCCCGTCAATTTCTCGGGTTTTTCCCGGCCGAAATAAATTCCCGGCAAATTCCCGGTTTTCCCGTTTTTCCCAGACGCTAGACACCCTGTAATTAATTGTAGGGTAGGTGCTTTCTTCACTCCTCTTTGCAAAAATGTAAGTCTGGCAGCACCCATGCCCTGCGTTTGCATATATGATTTTAATTTGAAATTAAAATGACAGACCAAAATATACCCTTCCAAATATGTGATAAAAAGCCCGCTGAGTCTAAAACACCAAAAAGGGTTCCCCAACAAGAACGGACTATCAGTAGATAGTCCGTTCTTGTTAGGGAACCCTTTTTGATATTCAATAAACGCAAATAAAATCTAATTAAAAATTCATTTTCAGGTAATGAGAGATTTTCGAAAACCTCTAATTGTAATTACACCGAAAGTTTTACTACGTCACTCTTCTGCAATTTCGGATCTTAATGAAATGACATTGGGAACTTATTTTAAAACCGTAATAGGTAAACATTTCCTTCTACCAATTGATTTGGAGAAAAAATATTATTTTCTCTAGAGAAGACAACTTATTATCTCTATATAAGAGACTTCTTTCCCCCAAATTTTTTCAAAAAAAATTCAAAAAGATACGCCATTTTGAATTTTAATATTAATTTTATAAAATTTTGAATATCTCGGAATATTTTTTATGGATTTTTATAAAATTTACACATTTTTCAGGTAAAAGTATGTACTTTAAAATGCAAATAAAGTTATTCAAAAAAAATTAATTTTTAAATAAAAAAATTAAAAAAAAATTTTTTAAACAATTTTTTGTTTATTTACTCTTTTCTGAGAAAAATGATATTAATATATTTGGATTCCTTATGAATTCATCTTTAATTTCATAAAAAAAAATTGATGGAGACTCAAGTGGGTCCGGAGATATTGAAGTTTTTGTAAAAAATAGGCCTAGTTGCAGCAGCAATGCACGACTACGGTCGGTAACGTACTTCGCGACTTGTGCAGTATGGTTCTATGGCGCGGCGACGCTTTTTTTTACAAAACTTTCAATATCTCCGGACCCAGTTAAGTCTCCATCAATTTTTTTTATGAAATTAAAGGTGAATTCATATGGAATACAAATATGTTAATAAAATTTTTCTCAGAGAAGAGTAAATAAACAAAAAATTGTTTGAAAAATTTTTTAAAAATTTTTTTATTTAAAAATTAATTTTTTTTTATTAACTTTATTTGTATTTTAAAGTACATACTTTTATCTGAAAAATGTGTAAATTTCATAAAAAACCATAAAAAATATTTCGAGATATTCAAAATTTTATAAAATTAATATTAAAATTCAAAATGGCGTATCTTCAACAATTTTGAATTTTTTTTGAAAAAATTTGGGAGAAAGATAGTTCTCTTATATAGAACTATAATACCACGAAGTTTTGTGCAAATCGGCATACCCTTTGCAAATCGTGATATTTCTGACGTGAATTGCCTCTAATATCTTTTCTCTTGAAGAAGTAAAATGCTAAAAATTTATCATTACAGGAGATGATAGAGTGCAAAAAGAAAATGTCCAGCGAATTTTGCTGGTTAGCGGAAAACACTATTACAATTTAATTCAACAGAGGGAACTTTTAGGAGCAAACAATGTGGCAATTATTCGAATTGAGAGTCTCTGTCCATTTCCAATTATGGAATTATTGGAAGAAATTGACAAATACAAGCATGCGAATAGTTAGTAATTCTCACTTACCTTGTTTTTTTGATTCACTTTTCTAGCCTTGTTGATCACTTTTTCTTCTTAAAAGCTTTCGTCTGGAGTCAAGAGGAGCCAAGAAACATGGGTGCATGGTCGTTCGTTAAACCGCGATTTGAAAATCTCTGCGGTCGACGGGTGAGTGTGTGTGAAAAAAATTCGTATTCTTAAAATAAACTGAAAAAAATAAATTTCCAAAAAAATAAATAAATAGAAAAAGAGTAGCATAGTAAAAAATTTAGAATTTTACAATTTTCTAAAATTCGAAGTTGTATTCGAATCGACTTTTTACCCAGTTCAAAAAAATATTCAAAAAATAATACCAAATAATGTGTTTTCAGTTGCACTTCTCGGGTAGGGATTCCTTACCAGCTCCTGCTGTTGGCGTTGGTCGGGTTCATCAACGTGAAGCCGAGGAAGTGATCAAGAAACCATTTGCCATAAAGTAGGGACATTCTTTTCCAAATAATTTATTTTTGACCCCCCCTTAATATATAATTCTTATTTTTCGAATAAAAACCATTTATGCACTAACTTAATGGATTATATACACATAATAGATAAAGAGAGAGGGGATTATTTCTTATCAGCAGTCACCTCTTTGCTAAGGCGTGCGTGCTCGTTTTTCATGAGGGTCTTCAATTCCACCTGTAAAATCCAAAAAAAAATTGTTTAAATACCAACACTAAAACACTTTTTTTTACTTTTTGAAAAGGAGAAAAAAGTAAATTGATTGATTACTTTTTTTACTTCGTATGCAGCAAACAATAAAGTAAATATAAATGTAAATATAATAACAGAATAAAATAAATACAAAAAATAAATAGTAAAATTAAAAACTTACGCCCCAGCCTAATTTATCGGCAAGTTCCTGACAACCTTTGTCGCAATCGCCCAACCAGGCCACGTCTCGTCTGGATTTAGAATCAAAATCGAGACCTTGCCTCAAACCCAAAAGTCTTGTGAGTCGATCGGCAATTCCCACTTTTTCCTTATTTAACAAGAGTCGAGGGCATTTAGACTTCACTCTAAAATGCAAAAAAGTAAAAAAGTCACTTTAGTCGATAAAAAATATAACCCTTCTAATTTTCAATTATTTTCTACAACTTTTAACTAAACTTCATCTCTAAATCAATTATTTTTAATAATTTTGTGAAAGTTCTTCTAGAATAAAATTATTTAAATACAAAAATTCAATTTTTTATAATAATTGAAACTATTCTTTTTTTAAGTTAATGTTTTCAAAAAATTGAAATAAAGGAATAAATAAAATAAATTTTTAAAAATATTTATAAATAATATTTGAAAGATAATAGTTTTTCAACTACATACATATGTTATACAATTGGAAATTTTCCAAATCAATGAAATTTGATAAAATATTTTACAAATCATTGAAATTTGAAAAAATTTGTTTAAAATAATTGAAAATTGATAAAAAATTTTTAAAATAATTGAAATTTGATAAAATTATTTAAAAACAAAATTGAATTTTTGAAAAATATAAATAAAAATAATCAAATTTTTGAAGAATTTTAATTATAAATGTGAACATGATTTCCAGAATTATTAATACGGTTAAAAAAGTGAACTTTTAAAAATTTTAATTTACTTTGTTCAAAGATAATTGAATTTGAAAAAATTCTGAGAATTACTTTTGTCAAAAATATTTTAATATAATTTTTAGAAGCTAATTTTCATTAATTTTCATTTTCAAAATTTACACTCTTGGGGAGTTTTCATTAAAATTTCTGAGAATTCAATCACAGTCAACTCTACCAATAGTGCCACTTCTCCTCTTTCTCGCTCGAGATTTATCCCCACTTTAGCGTCTCTAGCACGGCTTCTGAATTTCGAGTTTCCCCTAAGAGAGAAATGTACAAACAGTGGGGGTACTACAGTTCCAAGAAAAGTCGTAAACGCTGTGCAATTTCGCGGCACTATTGATAGAGTTGACTGTATTTTCAAAATTTATAATTAAAATTCTTCAAAAGTTGATTTTGAAACATTTTAATAAAATATTGAAAATTAACCTGTCAACAAGGGAAGCAAACGGCTGTACAACAAGACTAGATCCCATAATAATCAGTAAATCAGCTTCTGGAAAATCTTTACTGATCAAAATGTGAAATCTCTCTGGTAGCATTTCACCAAAGAAAACAATATCCGGCTTGACGACTCCTTCCTCGCATTCTTCGCATTTTGGTACCGTTCCCAGTTGTATTTTTTCTGTTTGAATAAAAAAAAATTACATTAATTGTATAACTTATTAACTAATAATTATTTTTTTAATATTTGCCATTTATTTACTTTACTAGCAAATGTTACGCGCGGAACGTACTATTAAATTTATTATTATGCAAATTACAAAATTTTTCTTCCTCGTAAGGAAGCTTTGTAGTCGTTTAATTTACAAAATGTTGAATGACAAAACAATTGTCCGGATGAATGTATGTGTGTGCACTGAGAGAAGTCCGGGAACTAATACGTCCCGTGCGAGGCTTGAGTGATAATTTTGAATGTTCTTATGTGAACCCTCGATCAGGACGTCTCAAGCCCCGATAAAAAACGTGGAACGTCCCGAAGCGGGATTACTTACAACTTTTAGTTTCGGTCACGAGTTGTTCTCTCACATGCGGGAACAATGTTTGACAGACTCGGGGCGTCTGAGCCCTAGATTCGAAACATCTCAAACGCAACAAGAACAGTAGCTTATAGCGACGTCTAGCGGAAACTATTACGCCCTGGACTTCTCTCAGTGTGTGTGTGTGGATCCCGATTTTTGTGAACACGATAACTCGAAGAGGTTTTAACGAATTTGGCTAAAATTTACCAGGTATATTTATCATAAAAATATCTCAAAATGGATTGATAAACTTTAAAAAATTCTCAAAAAAAATTTTTTTTTGACTTTTTTTTAAGTTGGTTATTCAAGTACAATAAAATGTTATTATTTATTGAAAAATAAATAAAAAATCTTATACTTTGCATCAAGATGAATCGATCGATGTATATAAAGTATATATTCTATTGAAAATTATAGAATTAATTACAATTAAAGTTGAAAAATTCACTTTATTACTAAAAATTTTTTTGTTTATTTAGATTTATATTACTGTATAAGAAAATTTTATTCTTTCTATTAAGGGGACATTCCAGTTCAAAACAGGCAAAAAGAAGGCTTTTTTAGTATATATTATTAAAATAACTATGACATTTATTAAAAAAAATTCTTTTACATGTAATAAATAATTTATTTAAGAATTTGTAAAAAAAAATTTTTTTCATTTTTATTTCAAAATTGCGGCGATATACGCCATTTTCAAAAATGCCCATTTTCGGTGGTAAGATCGATTCCAAACTTTCTAAAACAGATAAAACCAAAAACGAAGTGACATTCTCTTCGTTAGATATTTCTTTAGGTGTGGAACCTCAAAATAGTGGAATTTTCTTCCCCCTTTTTTTTAGAGTACTTTTTCCCCAAAATATGAAAGAAAAAGGTGCTTTTATTCAGAATTTCTCTTATAAAAAAAGGGAGTTGGAAATTTTCCAGTTTTTGAGGTTCCACTTATAGGCATAATGACGCTGAATCAAAAGCCGTTTGATTTTTGAAAATCGCTTTAGAAGAACTCGAGATATCACTCTTACCAGGTCAAAAAAAGACATTTTGAGAAAGACGCATTTAAAGTTTTTGTTCATAAGTTTCGAAATTTTTTTTAAAAAATCATCGGCGGATTTGCTTGAAAATCGTTACTTGAGGGTTTTTGAGGTCGCTAATTACGAATATGGAATCAGATTTTTAAAATTTAAAATGGCAGATCCAATATGGCGGACATTTTTTTTTCAAAATCATTGGATTTGCTTGAAAATCGTTACGGGGGGTTTTTGGGGTCGCTGATTACGAATATGACATCATTTTTTCAAAATTAAAAATGGCGGATGCAATATGGTGGACAAAAAAAATTAAACAAAAGAAAAATTAAAATTAAAAAATTTTCTTTTTTGCCATATTGGATCCGCCATTTTGAATTTTGAAAATTTGATATCTAATTTGTGATCAGCAACACCAAATACATTTTTGTTTGTCTTTTTTAAAAAATGAAAGTGAGAAAACATTTAAATCATTCAATTGCTTATCCGCATACAAAAACATATTTGACATGGTGAAGAATAAGCATGTATAACTTTTGATTTACTTCGAGTTTTGCAATAATATTTTAGGAGAGTATTCTTGACACTATAAGAAATCCGAAAATAAAAACAAAAAAAATCGATTTTTTTGACATTTTGAACTGGAATGTCCCCTTAAGACGAATTAACTTTATTTTATAAATGTTAAATTGTATTAAAAATGATTTGAAAATTAAATATACTTATCGTTAATGCTTCCTCTACGAGGAAGCAAATTTTTTTTGCTGATCGTAAAGAGGAAGCAAAATGTAAATGTAATGAACATCTGGATTTACAACTTGTTTTATTTTCAAATATGAATTTTTTAATAATTTTATATTCAAACTTTAAAAAAATTCAATTATTAACTAATTTACTAATTACATAATTATTCTTGTTTATTAATTTCAAAAATTTTAATAAAATTCTTCATAAGAATTCAATTATTTTCATATGTAAATAATAACATTCTTCGTAAGAATTCAATTATTTTCTAAAATTTTAATAAATCCTTCGAATAATTCAATTATATTTATAAATAGTAAAATTCTTATAAAAAATTCAATTATATTCAAAACAATTTCACGAATGAAATAAATTTTTTTTCTTAATTCATTATAAAAAATTTCAATAGAATTCAATTATTTTCTAAAATTTTAATAAAATTCAATAATTAAATGTTTAATTTCAATTCGTAACAAACACGATTATTTTAAAAACTTGAAAGAAACTGTTCATAAAATTGAATTATTTTCAACATTTTTATTTAAAATTATTAAAGAAACTCCATTATTTAATAAAAAAAAATTCAAAAAGAATGTAGAATTTTTAAAAATTTTAACAAAATTATTTGCGAGAATTCAATTTTTTTCCTAAATAATAAAATTCTTCGAAGAAATTCTATTATTATCAAATTGTTTGATAAAATTGTTTGCAACAATTCGATGATTATCAATACATTAATTTAAATATTGAAAATATTTAAGAAGAAAAAGTATTAAAAAAGTTACGAAACAAAAGTAAAGAGCAAACAACTAAATTCAAATTGCGAACAGATTACCGGAATACAACGATTATTAATATAGATTTTATGTTGAAAATCGACGTTTTTATTTTCATTTTAAATCCTTATAAATTAGTATTATTATTTAACTTAATTATCATTTAATTTAAAAAAAAAATATAAACCTTTCATCCAGGCAAAATCGTGTGGCGCCCTGCACTCTAAACAACGTCCCGTATGAAATGTTCCATGTGCTTCAACTAATTTATCACTTGGTAGTCCAGCAACTCTCTCGAGAGTGTCAATATTTTGAGTATAATGACGCAACAATAATTTCTTCTCCCATAATAATCGTATAAAATAATGGCTCAATGTTGGTTTAAAACCCTCGGGCATTAATTCCTTGGCAAGCACAAAAAATGGCTCCGGATTCTTCTTAAAGAAATCAATTTCAAAAATTGCCTGCGGATGGGGCAAATTGTATTTTTCTAAATTATGATAAAGCCCACTGGATGGCGAACGAAAATCCGGAATTCCTGCTGCTAAAAATTCAAGAGGAAAAATTAGAAAAAATTTCGAGAAAATTAAAAAATTTTTGAATCAAAATGCTTCGAATAAAATTACATGAGTAAACATTGAATTCATAACTAAATTATTAATTAATAAATTTAATTAATTGCTAGAAATATTAATTAGATTAAATATTTATTAATTTCAATGATAATTACTTTAAATATTAATTACTTTTAATGATAATTACATTAAATATTAATTACTTTAAATGCTAATTACTATAAATATCAATTAATTAAATTGTAATTCTATTAGGTAAATAATTTAATTATCAATTAAACAATTAAATTAGTTACGGTTTTCGAAGTATGTATTGTAAATAATGAGAAAGAAAAAAGATACAAAAATCTTGGAATAAATTAAAAAAATGGAGAAGACAATTTATGTTTTTTCTTTTAAATCAGGGTGTCTAGCGAATTATGATTTTCAAATTCCCGGCAAAATCCCGGATTTCCCGGACCTAAAACTAAATTATTCCCGGATTTATTTTTAAGACATTAATGACTATACAATTAAAATTTCATAATTTTTTAAATACAGTGGAAACTGAATTATACGAACTAATTCAGGCAGGATCTGGTTCAGATAATCAAAAGTTCAAATAATAGAAATTGCAATTATTTTTTTTATATTTGTGGATAAATGATTATTTTTGAATTATTTTGCAATACCCAATGGCACACGGAAAAAAATTAATCTCTAAATTAGAGATTAAATCTGAGATTTAGGCATAACCTATCACTGGAATCGGACGTAAGATGTAAGCAGATCACTAAAACTGAAATTTGGTATTATATCTAATCCGAATATTAGTATTATGAAGAACACGTATTTCTTATGCCTAAAAATGATATTAGGAATCTCAAATTTTATGACATGTGGAACATATGTTCTAAACTATCAACTTACTTAAATAAATTCAAATCTAATATATAATTTGAATAAACAATATTAAAAATTTTCGTCGTATATTTATATAATTCTTATTTTTGTAATAACTCGATGTAATAAGAATTTATAATTTATCACAATTTAGAGTGAGAATTATTCACAAAATATCTATATTGTTTTCTCTGTATGAACTATACATTGACAAGTATAAAAAAGTAGTTGGATATTTTTAAAACACAATACGAATTTTATATTTTTATTTCATTTTTTTGTTTTAACGGCGTTGGAAGGTCTGTAAAATTTGTAGGTTACAATTATCGCCCGACAAAATACGACACTGACTGATTTAAATGACGTGAAATAGGTAAATAAACATTTTTCAACCACTTTTTCTCTAAACACAGACACTTTTTACAAAATAGGCCAACATACAACGAGTAGGAATCTTCTTAATTACCTAAATTCAAAAGATGGTTTAAATTCATGCAGAAACGCGGTTGTAAAATGTAAAATTGGAAAGTGATGTAATGCTAAGAATATAACAGCTGGACCATTGTGCTCTCTACATGCTTCTGCCCTCTTCTGGCGACTGTCAGTAATCCGCTTCTTGTTGTCTGTCATTACATTACTTTCCAATCATTTCCAATTTTACATTTTACAACCGCTTGACAACCGCGTTTCTGCATGAATTTAAACAATCTTTTGAATTTAGGTTATTAAGAAGATTCTTACCCATTGTATGTTGGCCTATTTTGTAAAAAGTGTCTGTGTTTAGAGAAAAAGTGGTTGAAAAATGTTTATTTACCTATTTCACGTCATTTAAATCAGTCAGTGCCGTATTTTGTCGGGCGACAATTGTAACCTTAAAATTTCACAGACCTTCGCTTTTATTTGGATATTTGAAAATAAAATATTAATACTTAATTAATTAAAATGGTTTAAATCTTTTTTGCCACTGATTAACTTAAAACACAATGTACCGAATTCATATAAAAAAAGTTGTGAAATAAACAAATCTCTAAATCAGAGATGTGAATTTATGGCGTTTTCTGGTATAAAGTTTGACAGAATCAAACACAACTTATCACAGTAATTGAGACTATAATGTTTAATTTAGATACACTTATATTTCATTGGACTTCAAATTAATATTATTTCAAGTTTAGAGATTAATTTTTTTCCGTGCATTTATGTCTTCTTTTAGATATTTACATTAAAAGTCACTGAGGTTCAACTGCAATAAGTTAAAAATATTAGGATTTATAATTAAACTTTTAATTGAAGACTTTAAAATGTTAAAAATGTATGCAACAATTATATAAATAATAATATACAGTCAATTCTACGTCACAAGTATATGGAGTGTATAACTCCTTTTTCATTTTAAGCCAAGTATAATAAAGTAAAGAAAAGTAAAGATTTCCTTCTTCTTCTTCTTCTTTACTTTATATTTTATTTATTCCTTTTACAAAAAAAGGTATACGTATCCTTTATTTTTCTATTCTATAGGGGGACCAAAATATTTTTTGCAAACTATCCTTATTATTTGTAAGTATGTATTAGATAAGTTTTCTAAATTCAATAGTTTTAGAGTTATAGATTTTAGAGTCTACTTTTAAAAATCCAAGAATTTGGTTACCTATAAAAAATGAAAAAATAGATTTACAATAATATATTTTCATCCTAATTGAAAATGTGGACTGAAATTTAACGTGAAATTGCCTATATACTTATAATATATCTTTTTTTCATTTTTGAAAAATATAAGACTGAAGGTAGTTTTCTGGCTTCTACTCTTGTAAAAATTTATTTTCTTCAAATTTTGAGGAAATGTTTCTTTTGGTGCCCTTTAAATGTGGTAAAAATTTCAAAACCCTTTGCGATGCTAAATTTTGACTTATTCAAGTTCAAACTTTCACTTTTCCATGCGTTTATGTTAAAAATAAAAAATGTCAACCACAATATCTCGTTTTTTGACATGGCAAAAGGTTTTGAAGTTTCTATCACATTTAAAAGGCATCCGAAGAAATATTTCCTCAAAATTTGAAGAAAATCTATCGAAAATCAATTTTTAAAAGAGTAGCAGCCGGAGAACTACCTTAAATTGAAATTTTTTTTTATAGATTTTAATAAATTAGAGAAAATTTCCAAAAATTCCCGAATATTTTTTTCAATTCCCGGCAATTTCCCGGGGTTTTCCCGGTCGAACTAAATTCCCGGCAAATTCCCGGTTTTCCCGTTTTTCCCGGACGCTAGACACCCTGATTTAAAAATTACTCACCGGTTGAAATTCCAGCGCCAGCCATGACAATGATATTTTTGCATTTTCCTTCTTTAATGTACTCGGCAATTCCGTCTAAACTTAAATCGGATAAAAGTTTCTCCTCCTCGGATTCCTCTTTATCGTCAGTTAAATTCAATGTCTGAAGAAAAAGTTTTCGAATTTTGTCCATTTCTAAAGCTTGAACTTCATCAATTGGTAGCTGCGATTCATCTGCTTCTTTTTCTATAAAAAAATATACAAAATAAGTATGTTAAATTTTCAAAAAATAAATATTAATAATAGTATCAAAAATATTATTATTTTTATTATTATTATTAATAATATGAATTAATATTTGATTTTTGTTAAAAACGTTTTTTAATTATTATCTTTATAATCATTTTATTTTAATAATTCTTTTTTTTAATAAAATAAATAACTAATTAATATTATTTTTTTCAATTAGTATTCTTTACTTTCAATTTTTAAAATTTTTATAGCAAAAAAAAATTTTCCGAATGTTATAAAAAATCAGTAGATTTTCGTTCTCTTTATTTTATTCGATTTAGACTATTCAATATTGATATCTGAAGTATTAACAATATGTTTTGAACATTTTCTGAATTTTAATTATTGCATTAAAATTCGTCTGAACTTGAATCTCAGTTTTGACCAATTTTCTTCAGACAACTACCAATTTCTTGGTCAATAAGCTTGGTTTTCCGTATATAATTACGCACTATTATGTATATCAGCCTAAAAAGAACAATTAAACATTTTTTTATAATTTACAGTCGCATTAGCAGGATTGTACCGTGCCATATTAGCTCTAACTATCCTTGCCCTGTGGGGGGAAAAGGAGCCCATATTTCAATTTTTCCTAATTTTTTGTGAAACGACGTGAATTTACTTGAAAATAAATACGATATTCGTGTTCAGCAGGAAATTCCACTACGGAAAACACTTACGTAAATAAATATTCGGAAGCACTAATAAAGAAAACAATATGATAAAACGTGACAAAGATTCCCTTGAGATTTTTCATAAACAGGAGTTTTTTAAAAATAAACTCCTAACTTCGCAAATGGTGGCAGATTGACTTCCAATTTTTACTATAATCTTTTGGTAGCCACTAACTATCCTTGCCCCATCCTCCCATATTATTAATAGTATTTAATGGTCAACATTGTTAATAATATTTTATTTTTATTATTGTTAATAATATTTAATTGTTAAAATTGTTAATAGTATTTAATTGTTAATGCTGTCATTAATATTTAATTGTTAATATTCTTAATAATATTTACTTGCTAATATAGACAATAATATTTAATTGCTAATATTGTCAATAATATTTAATTGCTCATAATGTCAATAATATTTAATTGCTAATATTGTCAATAATATTTAATTGATAATATTGTCAATAATATTTAATTTTTAATATTGTTAATAATATTTAATTGTTAATATTGTAAATAATATTTAATTGTTAATGCTGTCATTAATATTTAATTGTTAATATTCTTAATAATATTTACTTGCTAATATAGTCAATAATATTTAATTGCTAATATTGTCAATAATATTTAATTGCTCATAATGTCAATAATATTTAATTGCTAATATTGTCAATAATATTTAATTGATAATATTGTCAATAATATTTTATTTTTATTATTGTTAATAATATTTAATTGTTAAAATTGTTAATAGTATTTAATTGTTAATGCTGTCATTAATATTTAATTGTTAATATTCTTAATAATATTTACTTGCTAATATAGTCAATAATATTTAATTGCTAATATTGTCAATAATATTTAATTGCTCATAATGTCAATAATATTTAATTGCTAATATTGTCAATAATATTTAATTGATAATATTGTCAATAATATTTTATTTTTATTATTGTTAATAATATTTAATTGTTAAAATTGTTAATAGTATTTAATTGTTAATGCTGTCATTAATATTTAATTGTTAATATTCTTAATAATATTTACTTGCTAATATAGTCAATAATATTTAATTGCTAATATTGTCAATAATATTTAATTGCTCATAATGTCAATAATATTTAATTGCTAATATTGTCAATAATATTTAATTGATAATATTGTCAATAATATTTAATTTTTAATATTGTTAATAATATTTAATTGTTAATGTTGTAAATAATATTTAATTGTTAATGTTGTTAATAAGATGTAATAGTTAATATTCTTAATAATATTTAATAGTTAATATTGTCAACAATATAAATAAAAATATTAACAATGAAGTACTTATTATGAATATTATCAACATTAGTATTAAGTAGCAAATATTTTGACAAATGTTAAATAATAATATTTACTACTCCCTTTTTAAAAAAAATAAACAACAAATTGTAATATTTACCTCGAAATTAAATTTAATTGCAAAATATAACTTTCTTGCAAAAAATATCCGTTAATTAACAAAAATAAAACGGAGTGTCTATTTGGCCCGTCAGCGGGCCAAATAAGTTACTTTTATTATTTGTCCCGTCACCCCACTTCCATACATTTCAAGACGGGCCAAATAAAAAAAGTAGTTTATTTGGCCCGTCAGATAACAAATTAGCTGTAATTAATAACAATAGATTATTATTATTACTATTTTTACAAATAGATTAATTTAATCACCAGGTACTATTTTTTACATGAATTTGACAGGTAATGTAATAAGAAAATTCTTCTTAAAAATTTTAATAAAATTCTTTAAAACGATTGAATTATTTTTAAAAAACTTAAACGAATTTTCACAAAAAAATTAATTATTTTGGCAAATAATCCAATTCTCTAAAACTCAATTAGTTTAAAAATCTACTATTTCAATACAATTTCACGAAAGAATTTAATATTATTTATAAACAAAATTTTGATAAAATTCTACGTGAGAATTCAATTATTTTCATAAATAAATAAATTTTTCGCAACAGTTCAATTATTTTTATAAATAAAAAAATTATTTTCAGAAATTCAGTTATTTTAAAAAATTTAAATAAAATCCTTCTCAAACATTGAATTATTTTTATAAATATTAAAATTTTCACAGCAATTATAACTTTAAAAAAATTTTTATAAAGTCCTTTGGAAGAATTCATAAACAAAATTTTAAGAAATAATTAAATTAAAAAAAATCGCACAAATCTAAGACTTTCTCATTTTTTTATGAGAATGTAAAAATTGTATTCTTCGGAAATTTTCATTATTGTAAAAATAATATTTTAATTTTTATACCTATTTTTAAAAAGTTAAATTTTAGAATAATTACAGTTAAAGTGAGAAAAAGTGAAATTATTGAAAAAGTAAATAAGTATTTAAATATTTATTTAACTATGAATAAAAATTAGCCTTATCAAGAAAAGTAATTGAAATTTTTTTTAGTTAAATTCCCGTAAATAATTTTAAAAAATGAAATTAACTTTCCAATTAATTAGAAATTTTGTCAAATTTCATTGAATTATAATTTATATTTTATAGAATTTTATTGTTTACTTTTAAAAATTATTTTTAAATATAATTTATAATATTATGTACTAAATATGTTTATAATTTGCATCTTTACTTTGAGGTTGAAATATACATATACCTGTCAAATTCATGTAAAAAATAGTACCTGGTGATTAAATTAATCTATTTGTAAAAATAGTAATAATAATAATCTATTGTTATTAATTACAGCTAATTTGTTATCTGACGGGCCAAATAAACTACTTTTTTTATTTGGCCCGTCTTGAAATGTATGGAAGTGGGGTGACGGGCCAAATAATAAAAGTAACTTATTTGGCCCGCTGACGGGCCAAATAGACACTCCGAAAATAAAATCCATTTTTTCAATTTCGATAAATTTTTACACAGAACATGGAGATAAAAAAATTTATTTTTATATTTTCTGCATTATTCGAAAGTCAAATGTAGAATTTTCACAATATTAATCTTACCTGACTTATTTATAATAAAAAAGTTAAAAAGAAAAATAGAAAAGATAAAAAAATAATAAAAAAATTTGAGGTTAAGTTGGTAATATTCAGAGGAAAATTTTGCGAAACAATGTATAATAATGTTTGAAAATAGAAGAAGAGACCTTAAGAATGATGTGTTGTAGGCGTATCAATTTAATTTAATTAAGTACATATAGACAAAGAGACAAGTGGAATTATCCCGAGATTGACATTTTATGTGAATGAATTAAAATTTGATTTTAATCGACTTACCCCTTTCCTCCTCTTCCTTCGGCTTGTCCATTAAGTAATTGTACTTATTGCGTGTTACAACGATATTCTTTTTTCCACTTAATTATGAAACAATTTCATCAGCAAATTGATGTCAAAAAAAATTTAAATGAAATATAATATTTTACCGCACTGACAAGAGAACGAAACAGATATAAACAGATATAACGACAGGACAGTTTTCTTCCTGAGTTTATAGATCACTACTTTATCAAATGGGGAAGAACAACGCAAATCACTTGAAGTTTTCACTTTATGCCGCTGGCAGCACTAGAGGATTGGTGTTACGTGCGGATTTACGTTATTTACGCGCAGGCGTAAAATCCGCGATTTGATTCGATGTTCAATCTTGGTTTAATCCTTTGAAAAGGAAGGCGGAAATATTCAAAATAAAACAAGTTAATTTCCGTTAAAACGGAGGGAAAAACCTCGAAAATAAGAAAGATCAATTAATAATTAATATTAATATCAATTAATTATTAATCCGACTCATTTCACGAGTAAACCCAATACATTTATTATATATTAAAGTCAAACATTACACAAGTCGAAGTTATTCTTAAGGCTATTTTTGGGACTACTCTGAAGTCCGTTACGAAAGAACTCCAAAATAGAACTGAATTCGTGAGGGAGCATTTATCCCTTGGTCCATGGCAGAATCTTTGCGCATGCCCTGTTATAGAGTTTGTAAAGTCTATGAAGTTTTTAGAATCACAACACTAACACTGCACTGCACTAATACACGTATAAACATACTCTATGTATTGAAAACATGTATTACAACAAGTGAACATAACCCTTTTGCATTCACACTAATTACACAATTATTAATTATTTACATCATATCTAGTAACAATAAATCTCTTATACTGCACTCATCATATTTAAATATAAACAACAATTATAACGATAACCAATTTGATAATGTATCATAATATAATATTATTATTATATCAATACGTTACAAACATATATACACATATATATACACATACATACATATATACATACATATATATATATATATATATATATATATACATATATATACACACATACATACATACACATACATATGTACATATCCTATACCATAATATTACAACAATCAATCAGATAAAGTTTACTAATAATATCATTTTCAAATAATACATTCATGCTGCACTATTAGCAACAATATAATATTGTTGTTAATTGTTCATAACGTTCATATTATACAATTGATAATTAAGTTTCGTCGCATAATGAAAGTCTATGTGTACGTGACTTTTCGAAGCCATTTCTGTGGTCACAAGTATGGTAAACACATGTTGCATTGTCCTATAGAAAAGGACACTTGAGATATTTTTTATATTCTTTTCGAGGGTTTCTCGGTTTTATGACACTAAAGAAACTAGAGATTACATTTTCTTTCGCTATTCTACTTGATTTATGACAATTCTAAGAAATGTTGATTTTCAGATACATATTCGGAATTTGGGAACTATTAAACCGTGAAGTATTATATTTTACAATAGTCAAACTTTCTTGTTTAGTCTCGTCAATATTTGTCTAAAGTCGTGAGAAAATACTAAAATAATTGAGTTTATTAACGAAATGTTATAATTTCGCGCTTCGATAACTCGTAAATCGATATATCGAAAGTTAACGAGCGAGATGGTAGTCGCTCGTAACACCTTCCCCCTTAAAGAGAATTTTCGCAAGAAAATTATAAAAGAAATTTCGCTTGGGTATTTAAAAATTTTTTTGTTTATTTTAAATTTGTCTATAATAACCTAAAATTTATTTTCTGAAACAATCATAACTACAAAAATTGAGATATAATTATTAGATTGATTCTAACTTGTCTTTTAAGTTCAAGAATAGGAGAGAAGATCTAAAAATGAAAGGAAAATTTTCTTTTTATTTTACTGTAAATATTCCAGAATTTTTAAAATAATTTCATACAGAACATCAAAAGAAATAATTTTCTTTTCTACTTTTTCACAGTGAAAATTTTTGAGGGGGTAAGAAAGAAGGGAAAAAAAGGTGAAAATTGAAAGACATGGTACGAGCAAGTCCCAGTTGCTCGACACCCCTTCCCCCTTAAAGAGGATGATGAAAAAAAAGAGTCCTGTATTGCAGGTAGTTAGCCTGCTGACACAGAATCGGTTTTATAAAAATGTCACTGACTTAAGAAAATGTCTTCGTTTATACAAATAGTAAAACGGTCATAAAGAAAGGGCTTTTCTTTTTTAAAAATGAAGTTCAAAACTAAGTTTATTTAGCAACCTCTCTTATAGTTATGGAAGCATTTAAAATAACATTGTAAATTTTCTGATTAGGGACCAATACCCACTTTACGTTAAAATACTTTTCACGATTTCGACAAACACCATCCCCATCCTCACCACCCTTGACCTCTAGGCAACACATGCCATGTTCGCAGGTGGTGGATTCGGGTGAATGTAACTATTAGAAAAATGTTCTTATTTTACAAGGAGAATTGAAAGGTTGAAGAGAGAGTTATGAAAATTCCAGTTTCCTATTACAATTCAAATTTTCATTTTGAATGTTTATCAATGCGACGGCCACTCAACCTTATCTGGGAACGAAACCACGAGACGACCCTTTTGAACACTGGCCCTTTTGTTCTCATGTCTTTCCCGACCTCTGTAGCGTGACTCCCGGCTAATGCTATCCACATCACCTTTATTAATTCTAGTAGTGTGATTACTGGCCAGACTCACCACTACCCTGTGACTCCGTGCCGAGGCCGTCCTCATCAACATTCTACCTTTTGTCTCGGTCTCGCGGTCACATATTCCCAGAACCAATAAACCGTCCATTGCATCAAAACCTTAAATTGGTTCGCTAATTTTATTTGACTCCGAGCAATTGCATGGTTCTACCCGGCCTTTCGTCCTTCGTCATGTTTTGTAAAAATAATTAATAAAACACAGGTGTTTTGTTCATAGAACGTGTCACCTCGTGCAAAATAAATCCAAACTAATTGATTTTTCTTTTGTCAAGTCGTTTGTTGTCAATTGGTATACCATGCCAAGTAGAACACACAATTCGCAAGGGTCTCACCGAAATTGCAGGGTGTCCAGTGAATTTTGACTCTAGAATTCTCAGATTTATTTATTAATTTCTAATATTCTAAATATATTAAATTAAGTATTAAAACAATAAAAATTAAAATGAGGATTAAAATAATCGTACCTAATTGAAAAGATTTTAATTTTAGATATATTAAAATTTTAGATAAACTTAAAAACAATTATTTTTCTCAACATTATTCAAACCTTAATGAGAGAACAACTTTCTTATCTCAGTGAAATTGTCTAGATTTAATATAGTTTAAGTTATACATAAAACAGGTATACTTTTAAAATGAAAAAAAAAATATTCTTTAATTCATATATAACTCAAAATTTGGTGCATAGAAAAGTAAAACATATGTTTGTTTATTTCCTCTGCAAAACTAATTATAATATGTTTATCAAAACTTAAAATGTAGACTGAAACTTAGTTTGATTGCTGATATATGTTTTCTTAAAAATTTGTTGAAGAATATAAGGCTTAGTATAAATGTTCTTAAAATTTTTTTTTTTTTTTACAAATTAATGAAACTTTTCAAATTGCATTTATATTTAAAATTTCCGTCAATTTCTAGAATTTTCTGTTGTAAATAAATTCTCACACGTCAGACACCCCGAATTATAAAGATTTAAATCTTCCAAAATGATACCAAAATTGTCAACAACTCTCCCCTCTTCAAAGTACAATTTTCAAATTTTCTTATTGATTTCAATACGTTTAAAAAGAATAAAAATCTTTCTTTAAACTTTCTTTCTTTACTTAAACAGAAGGACTTATTAGATCTCGCGGTAAGGAATATTTTCCCTCGTTCGTGTGTCTCAAGGGTGGAAGATCAAGGATAATTTCTTCATTCTGAAACCCTAAAGGAGGCAGAATTCTCGTGCAAAAATTCCATTCCCAAAATTTCAAATGAAGAAATACCAAAATCCTCGGTATTAATATGAATAAATTGCCTTTCTGCCATATACATGTAATACAACAGACTTTCAAGGTTTCAAAACACCCTTTCTAACACCCATTAAGTGGAAAATAATAACGTTGAAGCGCATTAAAACAAGAGAAAGAGAGATGCCCTTTTTTGTGCAATAATCAGGTTCTTTGCATGTAAAGCAGTGCTTATCTTTTAAAAAGGAAATTGGTATGTACTAAACAAATTTTCATTGATTAGTCAGGTATTTTCGTGACATTAAGGGTTGAATATTTCGGACAAAGTTTTAAAAATTAAATTGACACTTGTAGAGATAGAGAAAACAGCCGTGGAAGTAAAAGAAATTGCGTTGTTGCCTTTAAAATTGTCTGTTTAAAAATATCATAAAACAGTTCAAAAATATGTCTGTCTTTGTCATGTCACGTCATTTTTACATTACAATAAAATTCCATTATTTGCATTAATTTCACCACAATGTACGGAATATTCACAATCATATATTCATTAATATTATTCACAAAATTTTTAATTCATTCACACCATTTGTCTCTTCTAGACTTTACCTTAAATCGATTATATACAATCGTAAAAACAATTAATTCTGACAACTTAAGAAAAATACTAAAAATTTTAATTAATTCAACATTTTAAATACAACAATCTATTATTTAAATTAATAAGAAAGATGTTAATTCACAGAATTAAAAATATTTAGAAAAACTAATTCGAAAATATTGTAGTTACAAAAATGAGAATTAGTGTCATTTTATATTATTAAAATATTTTAAAGTACTTCGTATTATACAACAATTGACTAAATAAAAATGTAAACATAAAAATATATAAAATATTTCTTAATTTATAAGTATTCTAATTATTCAAAATTGAAAATAAACCATTTTTATCATTTTAAAAATATCAATATTAAATTTTCTATATCTTAAATAATTTGACAATTAAATATTTAATAAAAACAATAATTATTGCCTAATTAGTTTGACTATATACTAACTATATCAAATTTTTAACTAACACAACACATTTAATTTAGACTCAACAAAACAATAATATATTAATTATTATAAAATACATATGTCAATTATGAAATACTCAATTATCACAAAAATAAAAATGCATCTAAATAATTTATTAAATAGCAAAAATAAGAAAACTAATTGTTTCACACGGAAATTTTAAAACTTT